GGGATCTGACCTCCGAAGCCCGAGCCTCAGCTCCCAGCCCCTCCTGCCCCGGTGGGTGAGCAGACAAGCCTCTCAGGCTGGTGAGTGCTGGTCGGCCCCGATCCTCCGTGCGGGAATCTCACCGCTTTGCTCTCTGCACCCCTGTTGCTGCGCTCTCCTCCGTGGCTCCGAAGCTTCCCCTCCGCCCACGTCCTATCTCCACCAGTGAAGGGGCTTCCTAGTGTGTGGAAACATTTCCTCCTTCACAGCTCCCTCCCAGAGGTGCAGGTCCTGTCCCTATTTTTTTGTCTCTGTTTTTTCTTTTTACTTTTGCCCTACCCAGGTACGTGGAGAGTTTCTTGCCTTGTGGGAAGTCTGAGGTCTTCTGCCAGCATACAGTAGGTGTTCTGCAGGAGTTGTTCCACATGTAGATGTATTTCTCATGTATTTGTGGGGAGGAAGGTGATCTCCACGTCTTACTTCTCCGCCATCTTGTAGGTCTCCTGATACATCAGTTTTAACAATACCTAATTCTAGGTTGTGAGACAATGGGTAACGTATTTTAAAAAATCTTTTTAATTACCTGTATTTGATTTTTTTCAAATGAACATGTATTATTTTTGTAATAAAAATAAAGATTAAAAAAGAGAAAAAACATTGTGTCACTAACACATGGTCTTCTAACACATGACAATTTATTTCACTAATTATCTAGATGGTTTCCAGTTTTTCCCTATTATAAAAATGCTGCATTTAATCAGGTAGAGTTTTGTTTATTTGTTTTTTTCTTAGAAAGGCATCTTTGATTATTTGAGTGACTCAGTGTGGTCATTTTTAATTTTGTGTTTGTCTTTCCTTTTCAATATATTTTAAAGGAAGGAATGTTCACATTCCCTCTTTTCTACCTCTTTATAAAATGTCCTTGTATTTCCAGAATAGATTGAGCTCTAAGGCAAATTGGAATTCTGATTTTCTGGACATTCATGAAATGAGATAATCATGCCAAATTGCAAATGGATTGCAGGTGGTGTTGCAAGCTCTCTCCATCCTTAAGAGGACAGTTCATACAAAAACTAAAGGTGAACTACCCAAACTGAAAATGCTCTTTAAAATATCAGACATTTTACATTTTCTCACTTGACCACCAAAACAAAACCAAACTAAATCAGAAAGAACATTTCTTTACTGCACATTCAGTGTGCCAACACATTCCTTTATATTAAAAATGAAAAGACCTTAAAATACCCTAACAGATAGCAAAGCCTTAGAGAGCAAGTTTACATGCAGGGCTGGAGATATTCATTAAAATTGTAATTAGACTCACGATTAAATTCATTCACAGTAGAAACTTTGCTTGTAAGTGTTGCTACAGGAAGAAACCTCCAGTCTGAAAATTAGTTCAGCAGTCCGAGCGATTTTAATTATGCAGAGTTGATTATCGCTAGAGAAGGAAACCTTTATTGCAGCAACAGAATGAAAATCTTTTTTGCCCCTTTTTTGGTTTCCCGAGCTAATATGAGGTGCATATTTTGATAACCAAATGTTTCTCTAGGCAAGGAAAATGTGAGAAAATGTGCACAGCAGGAGAGCAGAAGTTATTAAATGGCCACCCAAAAGATAAGATACACAATGCCCAGCTCAGCATGTTTCTTTCATTTCAGTTGATCCCTTTATTTGGATAAAGGCAAAGGGAGCGAAATGGCATTTATTTAACATCTACTATGTGCAATCGCTTGTGATAAGCAGTTTCTTTTTTCCAGGTCTCCCTTTGTATCACTATTTCCATTTTATAGATGAAGAAACTGGTAATCAGGGAAGTTAAATGACTCTCATAAAAAGGGGGCTAAATGCTCGGTGTGACCCCAAAGCCTGCCTCTTTTCACTCTTATCATTAGGAAGAAGAAATCCAACAGGGACTTTCAAAGTTGCTCTTACTCATTCAAGTGTATGCTCTCACACTGTGTGCTTCCTTTTGTGCTGTCACACACTCTTTTGGCGAAGGCTTGCACCCTACCCAACCCTGCCTCAAACCAGCCAGTCTAAGTGCAGCTGAGGGCAAAGCCTCTACAGATCTGGCTCCATTTCCGCCTATGGTCAAAAGCTCAGAAGCTGCAGAGCTGTTGGGTGCTGCGCGTAGTGGAAAGGGGCTGGATGTGTAGTCAGGAAACCTGATTTCTGCTCCCACATCACAGACCTATGAGCTGTGGGATTTGGGGAAAATCGTTTTGCCTCTCTGGAGTTACATTTCTCCTCTGTCAGATGAGCAAGAGGTGGGCTTGATGATGGGGGAGGTTCTCACAGCAGTAATGTTCCAGGATGCCCTGAGGCTCTCATTGGGTTTTCAAAGCAACCAAGGAAGGGCAGTCTCCCTGGAACCCTTGGGCTTCCTCTTCTCCAGAGCCCAAAGCCATGCTGAGCATACATTTTTAAAAAATAATTAGAACAAATGTCAAACAGTAGAGAGAAGAATATAATGAACTCTCATATACTCATCATGTAGATTTAACAATTGTTTACATTTTCCACATTGATTGTATGTCTTTGTCCTGAAATTTAAAGCAAATTACAGACACGATGTCATATCAGCCATGAAAACTTCAGCATACATATCTAAAAAGTAAAGGCCATTTTCCTATATAAAATCACATAATTTTCACAGCTAATCCAAATAATAGTTTCTTCAAATAGTCAAATAAGGGCTTCCCTGGTGGCGCAGTGGTTGAGAGTCCGCCTGCCGATGCAGGGAACACAGGTTCGTGCCCCGGTCCGGGAGGATCCCACGTGCCGCAGAGCAGCTGGGCCCGTGAGCCATGGCCGCTGAGCCTGCGCCGGAGCCTGTACTCCGCAACGGGAGAGGCCACAACAGTGAGAGGCCCGCGTACCGCAAAAAAACAAACAAACAAAAAAACCAAACAAATGGTCAAATAACCAGTTTATGCTCAAATTTCTCCAGCTGTCCCCCTAATATTACAGTTGGGTTGTCTAAAGCAGGATCCAATCACTGTCCATACATCACATGTGGTTATGTCTCTTAAATCTTTTAAAATCTCATACAGTCTCTCTCTATTTTTTTTAAATGGCATTGACTTGTTGAAGATTTCAGAGAAACTGGGGCTTATTGTTCTGTCCACAGTCTCTCTTTCTGAATTTTCTGATTGCTTCTTCATGGTGTTAGTTTTTTTGTTCCTAAGTCCTACATAAACTGAAAATTAGATCTACACATTTGAATAGATCCAAGGTAAATGTTTTCTCAAGAACACTTCATGGATGACACTGTGTCCTTCGTATTTAATCACTTTGGGAGGCAATTAGGTAGTGGCACTTGATCCCGCCCCTGTGAAGTGACCGTCCCCTTGTGACCAGCATGTAGGCTGTGGGTGATATTTCGCCATCAGGTCAACATCCAGTTCACCATCAACCTTTCACCTAAGGGTCTTAGTATCAGTGATAATCTCTGCCTAAATCAATTATTTCATTAGTAGCTGAGAAATGAATTTGTAATTTGATATTTCCTTCTCTATTTACTAGCTGACATTCTTGTATAGAGAAGAACTTACCAAGGGCTCATCTTGACAAAGGCAGGGTCTACGTCCCCAAGGTTGGACTCCTTGACTTCTTGCATTTAATCTCGTACCAGGTTTTTCCTTAATTGACTTGAATTTGGATTTGAGAAGAGTGTTTTTCTCAGCATTGCCGGATTCAGGATTCCCTTTTCAATTAGCCATGGCTTCTGAGGAAAACAAAGGCAAACCTCACTCATAAAATTGGAAAGATTTCCTTTTTGTCTTAAATGCCAAAGAATCTCACTAGGAAACAAGCAATGCAATGCCTCTAGGATATCTTGAAAATATACATTTTTCCACAAGGCTTACACAGAAGATAAAGCATTATCTTCCCCCAGAACAACTTCCTTTTCACAGATTAAACATTTAACTTCTGACGTATCAATTGCAGGCATGCTAGCAAGATTCCTAGTAGACATAGGCTAGGTCAGCTTGTTGCTGCTGCCTTTGCTGTTACCTGGGACATGTCTTCTTGTTTTCTCCTTGTGGGTTATAGGCATCTTGCTACACTCTTCTCAAAAGGTCCAAAAGATGTGAACATTTACAGATGACTACAGTTTGAGTCTCTGGTCAATGATGATGTGAATTCCAACAGTTTACAGCTTCCATGTAACCACTAGGGGAGAAAGTGAAGAGCCCTGTAAAATAATGCACAGGCAGGATATCTTCATGAGATGGCTCCTCTTAATTGATGATGTGTAAGCAAGAAATCACTAAGAACATTTATCCCCTAAAGTAGAGATAGATACCATATAATCCAGCAATCCCACTCCTGGGTATATATCCAGAGAAAATCATAATTCAAAAAGATACATGTACCCTAATGTCCATTGCAGCGCTATTTAGAATAGCCAAGACATGGAAGCAACCTAAATGTGCACTGACAGATGAATGGATAAGAAGCTGTGGTATATATATATATAAATGGAATATTATTCAGCCATTAAAAAGAATGGAATATTATTCAGCCATAAAAAGAATGAAATAATGCCATTTGCAGCAACATGGATGGACCTAGAGATTATCATACCAAGTGAAGTAAGTCAGACAGAGAAAGACAAATATCATATGATATTGCTTATATGTGGAATCTAAGAAAATGATACAAATGAACTTATATACAAAACAGAAACAGACCCACAGACATAGAAAACAAAATTATGGTTACCAAAGGGGAAAGGGGGGGGAGGGATAAATTAGGAGTTTGGGATTAATATATACACAATACTATTTATAAAATAGATAACCAACAAGAACCCACTGTATAGCACAGAGAACTATACTAAATATTTTGTAATAACCTATAAAGGAAAAGAATGTATATGTATCTGAATCACTTTGCTATACACCTGAAACTAACACAACATTGTAAATCAACTATACTTCAATAATAATAATAATAAAGAACATGTCCTGAAGTATCTGGACTTCAGGCCTCCAAATTTTAAACGGAGAACCTAGATTAAACCCTGAGATGTACCCTGACCATCAGAAATAAAATAAGAGGGCTTGTACTTTGACAAAACTAAAGGTTCTTTGCAGGGGTACCACATGGGCTGTGCTTAATGAGTTCTCTGAGATGGTGTAACTGGGAGTTAGGTAGACCTGGGGCTCCAATTTCAACCACAACCTTTACCAGCCGGGTCAATTTATTAACCTTTCTGAAGCTCAGGTGTCTTATTCGTATATAGCTGGAGTCCCATGTGAGCAAAAGTTGGCTTTCATAGATGTCTTTGTGATCTGATGAATCCATGGACCTATCCTGCTAGGAATCACTTGACATGAGGGATTCTGGTCCAAGGAGAATGAGAGCAGAGGTTTCTGCAGGTGCCTGAGTGTGGGGAGGGAAAGGTGAGGATTATATGGAGCCTGTGTTGGATGATGGCTTTTAGCGTCAGGTCTCAGTCTCAAGGCTGTATCTAAACTGCGGGTAACGGTGACCAGAATTGGAGGGGATGTGTTCATATGGCCCTGAAGATGAACCTTTGGGGCTCCGGAGTCAGAATGAGATGCACAGTGGGTGGACATTCCCCATACTCGTGTGTGGCGCTTAGCATGGCTGTGGTATAGTGAGCACAGCAGCAAACAAGGCCTACTTTGGCCACTTAAGAGCCGATAATTTTTGGAGTTTCATAGGGTGAGATGCTTGGCAGAAACACCAGTTTTCTCCCAAGGGCAGCCAGTAGAGGGGACCTGAGGTGAGGTGCTGACTTCAAATGTTTTCATGGGCAACAGGCCTCCTGGAGTGCCCAGAGCTCGAGAAGGATGCTGTGAGATTAGAAGAAACACTCCAGCATCCTAGAGATCCAGCAGAAAGGGCACAGAAGGGCATGCATGGTTGACATTATAAGTATTAATATTGGTTTGAGCCTATTTGCATTTACAGACTTGTGTGATGCTCTTGCTAGGGATAGATTTACAGGAGTTTGGCCAAATGCAAAGAATTGCCTTGGGATTAAATAAAGCAAGGAAAGAGTCTAACCTAATACTTTGCACAAAGCAGCAGTTTTACAATCATTAGCTCCCTCGTGTTTTATTTTTATCCCCATCTCCATGGAGATATATGAGGTCTTCTTTTGAGGTCTAATGCTTTGGTTAAGCGTTACCATTATTATGTTCATATTTATTTATTTTGCTGAGTTTTCTATACAAGAACACATTTTCTTATTGCCCTTTTGAGCCCTTTCCATTCTTAGAAGCAATGGCAATAACAACTAAATATGGGTGGCCTTCCATTAAAATCCGACGACGGTAAATGGAACTAGGTAAAAAAAAATTTGTCCAGATTAAAGCAATAAATGTACTCCCATATTCTTGTTAATGGACAGATACCCAACCTTCATGACTTTCTCTTCCAGTCGTGCAAGAGGCAAAGGTAATTTAGAAACACTCTCGCTGTCTTTGTCACGCTGTTGACAAAAGGCTCAGAGAAAAAACCTAATACACCTTCGTTGACAATAAACATGAAAAAGCCCTAAGACATGCAAAGCAAGGTCTATAATTTGGTGCAAATTTTTTAGCCTGAATATATCATGCCTGTTAATTTTCTTAGTGCCAAAGAAGGGCTAGGCTGTTTCTGGAATGGGATGACTCTTTCTACCTGTTTCCCAAAGGGCCTTGATGATGTCAGGAAGTAGTGCTCTCTGATAAGGTCAGGCAGAAATTGTCCAGTGAATACTAATGATGGGAAAGGATAATTTCTTTTGGATCTGAATCCAGGTCTGGTCATTTGGCTTGAAGAATCCAACTGAGTCCACTGAAAGCACGCTGCAAGTACATTTTCTAAATTATAGTAAGAACTCTCTCATTAAGACTCTCTCTTGTGCTTTCTTTCCCTCTCAGGTGAACTCCTGCTTCCCTTTAAGTGCAAACTGAATCCTCTCCCACCATCTCCATGGAGCTGACCATCCATCTTCCATGATGCTTCTGCATGCTGTAAGTACCTCTGTTAGGGCACCTGTCATGCATATTATAGATTTTTGTTTTCATGTCTGTGTCCCTCACTGGAGACTTACCTCCCTGATAGGAGGGCTTCATTTTACTATTATTTTATTCCCAAAACTGAACTCTGTTTTTACCTGCAGAGTAATGTGTGTTAAATATTTGCTGAAGTGACCTCATAGAATCTCAGGTTTGGAAGGAAACTTTTTCATCATTCTAGGAAACATAAAATAGTGGAGTAGATAACATCTGAGCCCCACCTCCCCTCATTTAGTAGAGAGGGTTGCAAGGCGGGGTCAGGATCGCAAAGTGAGCTAACGGCAAGCAGAGGCCAGAATAACTGTTGAATGTTATCACTTGCTTTGAGAAAAGAATGGGTTGTATCTTCCAGTTAGTTGGCCGGGTTTCTTCATTGCAAAACTTTCTTGTGAAGTTCCAAAACTGAGTTATGATATGCAGCATGTCCCAAACATATTTTCCCATGGAACCCTTTCCTCATATCATCTCATTGAACTGGTGTTCCCCAAAACACACTTTGGAAAACATAGTTGTGGTAGACAGAATAATGACCCCCTCTCAAATGTTCAAGTTACAGTCCCCAGAACCTGTAAATATGTTATGTTACAGGACAAAGGGGGAATTAACATGTTGGATGGAATTAAATTCGATAATCAGATGACATTAAAATACGAAGATTATCCTGGATTATGTGAGTGGGCCCAATGTAATCAGGTCCTTGAAAGTGGAAGAAGGAGGCAGAAGAGGAGTTAGAGTGATGCAGTGTGGGAAGAACTCAACCCACTACTGTGGGCTTTGAAGAAGGAAGGGGCCACAAACCAAGGAATGCAGGTGGCCTTTAGAAGCTGGAAAGGGCATGGAAATGGATTATTTCCTAGAGTCTTGAGAAAGGAAATGTAGCCATGCCCATGTCCTGTTTAGAGCCCAGTGATAACTGTGTCAGACTTCTGACCTCCAGAACTGTAATATAATAAATTTATGTTGTTTTAAGCTACTAAGTTTGTGGTAATTTGTTATACTAGCAAAAGACAATTAATAAAAAGTTCTAGTGTCACAAGGTGCATGTTTACTGTGCTCCCCCATAAGCCTGGGAATTATCAATAATCATGATTATATTATTTGTATTCATGTCTCTATGGTGAGGTGGAATGATTCTCCTAAATGGTTGCAAACTGACCCCTGAAAACCATATTTTCTTCTATTTTTATAACTTTTGCTGTATTCCATTCTTTAGAAGCAAGTCACTAGATCCAGCCCACACTCTAAGTGGGGAGATTCCACAAGGACATGGGTACCAGAAGACAGGGATCATTGGGAGACATTATGGAAGCTGCTTACCATAGACAGAAAGGAATTCGTGAAGTTTTTTCTAATTTTTATACTTCTACTTTTACCATTGTTTTTGAAAGCCTCTTGAAATTCTACCAAAGGTAAGGTGACCATATAGTTTATCATCCAAGCCAGAACTCTTTTGAGATAATGAAATGGGGGGTGCTATAAATAAGTACAAAGGGGGCAACAAGTATAAAACAGACTGCCCCTGGAAACCCAGATGTATGGTCACCCCAGTCAAAGGTCATATTTCTGGATGTCTTTCTCAGCCACTAGCACAATGCCAACATATAACAAATATTTAATATATACCTACACATGGAACAGCAAAATGATTCTAAGATACACAGAGGTACTTGGGCCTCTAAATGTTTGGTTCTCAAGCATTTTTCATCCATCATAGTCTAACTAGGGAGGCTAAGAAACCCAACTACCACATTTAATCCTACTTTTCAGTAAGAAGGTAAATCTATGACAACACAGACATTTCACTTTAGGAATAAATTCCAACAGAAGAGTGTGTTGAATTACATAGTCATTGGCCTTGGCATTTGATCTCATAAACACAAGGCCATGTGGTGTGTGATGAAGAGCTAGCTGGGTTTCTGGCATGGGAGAAATCCTGGGCTCTAATCCTAATTCTGAAATTTAGTAGGCATGTAACTTTGGGCAAATAACCTGACCCTTCTAAACCTTAGATTGCTTGTTTAGAAATGGCATTTAATTGAATGTGACAGTATTCACAAAACAGTACATTTATTCAACACATCAACAAATATTTGAGCATTTACTATGTGCCAACACATAGCTCCTGGAAACTAGAGTCCTGGAATATTCTTTTTTTTTA